CTTTGCTAAAAGTTAGATCAGAAAATAGCATTCTGGTGTCTTCACAGTAAATATTAAGCTGGTGTCTGTGGCTGCACTGGTTGTCTGGCTACTGCTCCAAATGAAGAAACAGCCTGATAGAACAGATGAATTTGTGATCTTCAGGTGTGATGGTAGGTAGATGTCTGTTTTTAACTTTTTTTAAGATACTTTTTTTGGGCTTTTCTGCCTTTAATGGATGGGACAGTGAAAGATGGGGAAAGGACATGCAGCAAATGAACCGCTGGCTGGAATTGAACTGCAGCCGCTGCATTGGGGACTTGAGCCCCTGGTCATGGGTCGCTATCCGGCTGCCCTTTTGTTTTTGACTTTTAACTGAAATAACAATTTCCAATTTCCAGTCTTTCTGCTAAGCTAATCCGTTACTGTATGTCACTTCTACTATACACAGACATGACAGTGGTCCAAACTTGTCCTCTAACTTTTGGTGTAAAAATAAAAAATAAAAAACCTTGAATACACCTTTTCCCCAAAATGTCAAACCACTCCTTCAAAGTTTGGTAAAAAAAAAAAAAAACAACAACAAGCTAGTAAGTCGCTTCACTGAAGTATCAGATGAACACAAGCTACTTAGAAATTCAACATAGGATATTGGAAGGAAATTGCGAACGTGCTCACTGTCAGGACAGGCTTGGGTGTTGGACATGTCCGGTTCAATACTTCTTTTTAGCTACGCAGTTAGAAACTTACTTCCCTTTCCTAGCTGTGCAGGTAGAGTTACTGGTTTCAAAGAATGATTTTTAATCATCACAACATCTGAATCAACTTTAAACTTGAGCACAATCAGTATCTCTGTTAATGGCTGCTCCTGGGATCTCAATCCTTAACTCTACTTGACAAAGGGCAAAAAAGCTATAAAAACTGATGATGAAGTATGTTTGTGGTATTTACAAAGTGTCCGTGCCAGCAGGGCAGGAGTGGTGGACGGTCTAAGTCCTCTCATGATGTCCTGGTCCATAGAGAGCTCATCACACCCGACTGTCCTCACCTGCGCCCATCCTGAGCCCAGTGCGCTCGGGTACATCTGCATCACGGTTCTCCACCTCTGGTTTGCAGCATTCTATGGCTTTATACACGACGAGACCCACACAGATGAAAATAAGGAGGCCTTGGCCGATACCCTGGGGTACAGAAGAGTAAAAACAACACTTTGAGTAAAAATCAAGATAAAAAGGCATATTCTTCATTAACAATATCTGTAACAGAGGTACATAAATAGTTTGCAAAGTGTAATGTCAGTGGGTATGTTCTATACAGCATATACTCTGAGGAGGAGGTGTTTTCACTCCACTCATCCTACATAATCCTCTGCAAAGTAGAAAATATTCAACTCACCTGAGAAAAAACAAACAGCTGCTGTGAGCGGCGCATTAGTTCTTGTCGAGTGTCATTTCTCTCACCAGTTGGCTCACACCACTTCTGCGGAGCTGCCTTGTCAACGTGTACAAATCTACCCTCCCAGTCTGTCATAGCACAAGCAAAGTATTGGCCATCGAAGAACAATAAACTCAGCCACACGATAGCGGGAACACAACTGGAGACAAAACTGGAACCTATTTTCTTCCATGACCAATAACTTCTGCATCCTTGAAAGATCAGCATCAAGGTGAAGGCCATGATGGCAGGAATGATGAAGAATGCTGATGAAAACCATTTGTTCCATTTAGGGTTGCAAGGACACTCAAACTCCAGCTCCACCACCTTCTCGAGTACCAAGAGGATGAAGCCAAAAGCTACATTTGAGACAAGAGGACTGTTGCTAAGTTCCTTTTTCAGCATGGTAAGCCATTGCTGTTTCTCTTCCATTCTTGTTCAGTTCAGAAGTCAGTTGAATCCCACTTGGATGTCTACTTTTGTTTGCTGATGACTATATCCACCCTGCTGTGTCTACAGCTGAAGACAGCTGAGTAAACAAAGACAATTTTTTCAGGAAGTCCTGATTAAACCACTATCACAGGAAGTGAAGGTGCAGGGCCTGCCCTGACTTCAAGACAAAGTGGTTTACTTTGCACTTGTGCAGTGCTGCAAATAACAAAACAAAACTCACAACAAAACTACTGCTGTAAGTGACAGCTGTGGAGGAGCTGCAGAGGATCTCCAGGCTGGTCGTTTCAATTAAGCCAATGAAGCACAGCGTCCTCAGGACACAGGCTGTCCTAAAGGAATCCTCACCAGAGGACTCATAGACCGCCTTGGTATTACACTGCAGATACAATACATATTGTAGGATGTGTTAGACTGA